GCCTTGGATCCTTTTTAAGGAGAATCGGGGGAGATATTTTAAATAAGCAAATATAATAAACTGACCTGCAAAAATGCAAGAAAAACAGGAAAGAAACAGAACAAGAGAGTGCAGTCAAAGGCTAACCGGAAAACAGGTTTGCCTTTCTGAAAGTTATCAGAAAGGAGCAACACACCAACTTTACATGGTAGGTTTATTTTACAGGAGTGATGATTGGTTTGAAATCATTCAGTGGTGTAGTTCTTACATCATATTGATTTAGTCCTCGAAGTGGATCTTAAGAGATTCAGAACTGATGGCAGGCACAGACATTATAATGTGAGAAACATGTCCTCACTGCTCCTAAACTCTTCCTCAATGAGTTAAGTATAATAGCGAATAGAGCTGATTACACCACAACATTTTAAAAAGAATTTTCACTGAAGGAAAGAAATTTGTTTAGTTTTCATGGTGCCATCTTGTGTCTGAAACTGAAATAACACATTTTTATATTTGGCAGAAGCAAATTACCAGTTAGCACTGCATTGTTCATGAGAAAATTGCCAGAGGGTCATGTGCATGTAGGCGATTGTTTTTATTGCAACTGCAAGTGCAATGGAATTATACTACTGCAACTTCATATAACTCAATGTGTAGCAATATTGCACACATCATGCAAACCCCTCCATCTCTGCCTGTCTTCCCTTCTCTCTGTGGTTCTCTCTTTGACCACATCTTCCCTGTCTCCTGATTCAGTTGCCCAGGCATATCCACATGCTGCTTGCTCAAACACTTAGTGGCTTCTATGATTTCCTTTGCCCTCAAATAATTTTGCTTAACTTCTTTGGAAATCTCCAGATGAGATAGCATAGCACACAATTTGTCCACACAAGGTTCCAGGTTCAATTCCCACATCTCTGTGTAGGGATACAGAAGGATCCAGACTGAAAAAAGTTATTGTTATTTAGAAATAACAGGACTGACAAATAGACGAAGAGTCTGACTCAATGTAAGGTGGCTATTTTGTCTGCCAGATCTTAACAGTCTACTTGAGGATCTAGTTCTAAATCACTCCATCTTATAATGGAGGGGTGTGTTGTGGATTCACCCTGTAGCTTGTGGTGGCAATGGGTATTTTACTAACCTTTCCCCACAACAGTTCCCATTGTATTTCTCTCTGAAGATGCTATTTTACCTATAAAACTGCTATCTGCATTAAACATACAGCATTAGAAACAGTCTCATAATTAGCACAGGGCAACTGGTGTTTGGACCCCAGCACCAAAACTTGCAAAAAATTGCTCCTTGAAGGGTGCCAACCTACCCATTGGTATTTGCTGCTGTAAGGATATGAACCTGCCATGCCTTCCCAGCAGAATGCAGTAGAAAATAGGTGAGCGCATTTGGGATCAATGTCATTATTGTGCTTTCAGATCCAAACATTCCTCTCCATTCCTTGATCCTCTCAGTTAAGCCACTCTCACATAATCCACAACCAATAGGACAGCAAAATCTGATGAGTCAAAATTGCTATTTTCAGTTTCACCTGGGGCAAACAGCAGCTTCAAGAGTGGTATTTAACAAGAAAACCCTCTTTGCTAGGTTGTTTCACACATGCAATCTAAAACCTGGAGCCAAATGTTAACATACAGTTTTTTTCAGCTAAACCTAGAAGGCAAAGGAAGTGGTAAAGCAATATATCTAGAGGCAGAGCAAACACAGAGAATAATAATTAAAATTTACATCTTCCTTGCAAAGCAACTAATTACCTTCATAATTCTTCAAAGATACGATGTTTTCCTGAACAAAAAGTTTTTGTGGGCCATTCTGTCAGACCCAGCTTTGTTTTTCAATATGAGCTTGACAGTCAGACAGATAGGTATTCATGATTCTGTCCTTTACAAGCAGCAGTTGAATTCTAGGCTGTGTGCAATGCTGAGCTGAATGTAAAATCTCTTCTTGCCCTTGACCATATGTAGATCTTTGTGTATACTTCTGCTGATGTATTTAGTTTTTCTTAAAACTTAGATTCTACATGCTCCAGGAGATTAAGTATCAAGCCCATAGAGTAAATGGGTCAGTTCCCAATGGATCTAGGTTCACAGTCATAAATAAGAATCTTAAAGTAATACCCTCTTTCTGGAAACTCTTTATATTAGGCATGTGCAGAGAATTCACAAAATTTGTTATTTTTGGTGAATTTCCCATTCTCATCATGCCATATCCCCATTCAAGATTTTGCCCAGCCATCAATGCTGTGAGATTTCCTGGCTTCCAGCAAAAAATTGTCCACTTTTTTGTTGTTGCTTTTCCCCTTTTTGTTCTGTACTCTGTATGGCTTAATGCAATTTCTGACAAATCTTATGCAGGAAAGATATCATTTTCTGCAGGAATCCTACAGAAATTATTTCAGAAAAAAAGACAATGAAATTTAAGAAAATAAAACAGAAACAAGCTCTCACACAGGAATCACACTGCCAGGAGAAAAGAGATATTTTTCCTCTCCTTTTCTCAAAGTTCCTCTGACAGCAAGAAGTAATAAGATTCACATCCCTACTTTATAGAAGTGTTTAACAAATGCACTCCTTACCTAAGGGTCATCATGGCATGGCTAGCTGGATTCCAGCTTTACAGTTAAAACTTTATTGTGGCCCAAGTTTTGCCTTTTGGGTACAGAGACAAATCTCGGAACACAGATTGCTTCCAAACATTTCACAACAGGGGTTATTTCTGAACTTCTGAATAACATTATATATTTAAGTGGGGGAAGTGGAAAATGCTATCATATATAAAAATTTCATACAGAGCACAGTAGAGAGCATTTGTGATACAGTATATGTCCCTCCTCAATACCTTTCTGACATGCACATACATAGTGATTAATGACTGCAAATGAATACCTACCAATCTTATAATGCAACCCCATGGATAGTTAATTAAAACAAACATATACACAGATTAGCTAATAGAGTTCAAAGAGAGAAGCCCTCATGTGATAATATAAAGAATGGCATCAAGATTTCATTGGTCAAATTGAATAATGAATTCGAACTAGCATTTGAGCTATTGAATCAAGAGAACACATCATGTCAATACTATGTGAATACATTAAATCAAAGTGTCATCTCTAGACATGAATAATAACAACATACCATCACGTTGAATGCAAATTATGGTGACCTTTTCCAGGTTTTCTAAGTATAGAGTACTTAGCAATGCTATACCACTCCTTTCTGGAGGCACACTAGGACTGTACAGTTTGCCCATGGCTACTCAGGCACAATGGGGAACACAATCTCTTGCTTTGTGGTCAGATACTCCAACTCACTGAACTATTGAGCCAGCTCTAGTACAGAACTAAAAAGAGATTTAGATGCACAGAATGTAAGACTATTGTAATACACACCATGAGGAAAATGATATGCTATCATACACATAATAGCAACCAGGATTTTTTGGGGGGGGAGGAGTTATTTTTAAGAGCATTTGATATCTAGAATCCTCTTTTCCCTTCTTTTCTAAGGTTGGGATGGACAGATAGTGTTCATTCATATATTCTGGAACTCCATCTCCCAAAATCTCTCAGCACTTGTTGGGCTAGCTTAGGCAGATGGAAACTTCATTCAAACAACATTTGAAAAGACACATGTTCCAAACCCTGGTTTTAGATGTTCTTCAGTAAGGATAAAGAAGCTATTGCATTTTCAGATTAAGTTACTGGAATTGATTAATAATTAGCTTTTATTTGTAGGTAGGGGTTCTTGTTCTGCAGTTCTTGATGAGTCTCAACATTTGTTTGGAATGAGAATCTGGCCAAGTGTATAAACAAAATGCCATTTCAAAAAGCTATCATATCATTATCCATTTTCACTGTAGTCTTTCACTTTCTGGGGTTAGCACAGCTGCTGAAACATTATATGAGACTTTTTAAAATACTCTGCCAAAAGATGGCAGCAGAACATTATAGTCCAAAGGTGGTATAGTCAACAATATTTGAACAAATAATTATGCACCAGGCAGCAATCAGGTATCATGGATGTTTTGTTACTTCAGTCTTGCTGTACAAAATGAATCTTTGTAGGACACATCACAAAGCACCTTAGGGGGAAAATGTTATTCCTGCAGATATTTTATTTTCCCTGTTGTGGGTAAATATTGCTGGCTCCCCTTCTTTTAATTTGTTGTGTGTTACTATTCCATCCCTTTTGCTTCCAAAAGGACAGTAATTGTGAAAGTACAGTTAATTTGCTCAGATTAGGAAAATAACTATTTAGTCAAGATGGGACCATGAATCAAATTTCTCTGATGCTAACATTCTCTAGAGATTGTTCTCCCTTACAGTCTACCATCATTTAGGGTGGGAGGAAAGGCAAACTACATCTGTTCAGAGGCATTTTACACTTCCCCAAATGTTCCAGGAACTAGATCTGGAAGTGAAAGCAGATTGAAAATATAGCCTTCTTCCTATAGGTTGATTGGGGAGGAGGCAAGGAGATTTTTTATACTCTGCCACAGAATACTATATTTATTTGTGCTGTAATACACAGAAACAGATGCACTATGCTATAGTAACATACTTCATGTACTCAAAATATACCAACACACCACTATGCAGCTCCATTCCTCATGAAATATTCTTGTGGACATGTTTCTCATCTAAGAACAAGAATCCTCTTCATGGGTGTCTGGAGGCAATAATGGGCCTGTTGAGTCTTAACAAACTGAAGTCCAGACTGAATAACTCCTGGCCCAGAAAAAGACAAATCCTAGGAAAGGGATTCAATTTTTTAACCAAAGTAATATAATCAGTAGAGATGGGGACAAACCACCAAAATGACAGTTTGTTGTGGGTCATGGGTCATCAAGGTTGACAACCCACAACCCACAAATTTCCCCAAGAATTTCTGATGAACCATAAATCAGTTTTGTTAGTTTGTCTTTTTTATTGAGAAAGCCTGTGGTTGTCTAAAATAAAGGCGGAGTCCCCACCCCCACCCCACTGCCCCCCTCTGCCTCTTTACCTTTGCCTGCTGGCAGTAATGGTGGCACTGGAATGGAAGCTGTGGTTCCGGCACAAAAGTCTGCTCTCTCTGCCTCTGCAAGAGCCAGTCAGCTGATTGGCACCTGCAGAGATAGAGAGGTCAGGCTAGCCTGTCTGCACAATTCTGGCCACGTGAACATTGCTCTCTCTGCCTATGGGCCAGACTCATTGGCAGAAAGAGCAAGCTAGCTGGGCAGAACTGTGCTGGCAGGCTCTCTCTGCCCCCACGGGTGCCGATCAGCTGATTAGTCCCTTCAGAGGCAGAGAGGTCAGGCTATTCTGTTCGCATTATTCCAGCCAGCTAGCCTGCTCTCTCTGCCTGTGGGCCTGACTCACAGAAAGAGAGATCCAGCTAGTTGGGTGGAACCATGCTGGCAGGCTCTCTCTGCCTCCATGATCAATCAGTTGATCAGCACCTGGAGAGGCAGAGAGATCAGGCTAGCCTACCAGAACAGTAGTGTCCTTTCCACCAGCAGTGATGTCGATGGCAGCGAGACAAAGTATGGAGGTGATGGAGGGCAGGTGCAAGGAAGCAGTCTGTGGGGACAGAAAGAGCAGGCCCACCGAACAGCTGTTTGGTGAGCCCATAGGCAGAGTGAGCAAACTATACCCTGTGTGCACAGTTCTGCCTGGTTAGCTTTCTCTTTGGGTCCAGAGTCAAACAAAGAGATGATTAAAAAGGGTAAAGATTCATAACTTCATATTTGTCAGGGTCTCTAAGTAAAGGTTGCCCTTGACATTTAGTCCAGTCATGTCTGACTTTAGCGTGCAGTGCTCATCCCCATTTCCAAGCCATAGAGCCAGCGTTTTTTCTGAAGACAGTTTCCATGTTCACATGGCCAGTGTGACTAGACATGGAATGCCGTTACCTTCCCACCGAGGTGGTACCTATTTATCTACTCACATTTTTACATGCTTTCAAACTATTTATTTATTTATTTATTGGACTTATATACCGCCCCATAGCGCTACAAGCACTCTCCGGGCGGTTTACAATTTTTAATTATACAGGCTACACATTGCCCCCCAGCAAGCTGGGTACTCATTTTACCGACCTCGGAAGGATGGAAGGCTGAGTCAACCTTGAGCCGGCTACCTGGGATTTGAACCCCAGGTCGTGAGCACAGTTTTAGCTGCAGTACAGCGTTTTAACCACTGTGCCACGAGGCGCTAGTTACTGAAGGAAGGATTGCCTGAAAAGAAAGGGTTTTTTTCTGCTTGTGAAAGAACAGCAATGATGGGGCCAGTCTGTTCACATGTGGGAGGGAGTTCCAAAGTCTGAGAGCAACAACAAAGAAGGATCTCTCATGTGTCCCCATCAGACGTACCTCTGAACTTGGTGGACTCTGAGAGAGGCCTCTTCTGATTATCTTAACACCTGAGCCAGCTCATAATGGGAGATACAATCTTTGAGATAGCTTGGACCTAGGCCATTTAGGGCTTTTAATTTTTTTTATTTAATATACTACTAGACATACAGCTAAAGACATCAACACAGGAAAAAAAAAATCTACTAGACTAAGCCCTCCCCCCCTTTAGGGCTTTATAGGTTAAAATCATCATTTTGAATTGTGCCTGGAAACTGGTCGGCAGCCATTGGAGCTGCTGTAAGGGGGGGGGGTTATGTGATCCCTGTAGCCAACCCCAGTCAGCAATCTGGACTCAGTTTCCTGACAACAATCCAGTAATCCAGGGGGAAGTAACTAGGGTGTGTGTCACATGATCGTTGAATCAAGGATACAATCTAAATTATTTGTTCTCACTGATTTAAGCTTTCTTGAGAAAGCATCTCTAAAAGTTATTTTGAAGTCCTACAAGATTCCTCACCTTCAGGCACTCTCAAGTTAAGGAATACTATTTTTTTTCCTCATCAAGGTAATTTGTGCAGATTGCTTCTGAAAGAAAAACAGTACTCTTTTCCTTTTGTGAAGCAAAGCACACACCTTAACAGCAAACACAGAAAGGGCTTCCTTTTTTGGACAAATCACAAATTCAAAACTGAATTGGCTTGATGTGACCAATTTGCATGAGATTCAGACCAAATTGAAATTGCTAGAATTAATTCCAAGGCAAAGCTGATACAGTTTGTAAATCAGTTTATGTCTGGAACACAAGTTGAATCAGATGAAGCACAAGTTCTTTCTTTCTTTCTTTCTTTCTTTCTTTCTTTCTTTCTTTCTTTCTTTCTTTCTTAAAATCATTTTATATACTTCATGGTTTTCCAGTGCAAGTCAACAGGAGGTTTCCAAATTGATTCAGATCCAGGGCATACATTGCTCTGAACAACACAGGTTCCATTCCAAAGCCCTGAATTGCTCCTGAACTGAATTGGGTGTTCTATGCACAATCGTAGTTTAAAAAGGCAAAGCATGATATGAGAACAGTATCCATTTTTTTAAAAAGGCTTGGTCTGACATAATTATACATATTCCCTCAATTTAAACTATGCCCTGCATTAAAGACCCGGACTGCTTAAACAGGATTCAGTGTCAGCAGCAACAAGCCATTTAAATTTAGGTATAGAAGAGGAGAGAGGCTTTACTGTTCTATTCACTCCTCCATGCATGCTATAAACCATTGCATACTTACATCAGAATCTATCTCATCAGGCATATTCTAAATCCTTTTATGCATGTGAAGATGTTGAGAAGTCTGTAGCTCATTAAAAAGAGAGAGCAGGATGCCTAGGATAAGCCTGATATTGAAAAGGGCCCCTAAGGGAATGTGGGAGCCAAGGGGATTTGTGGTATTAGCATTTCTAACTGCATTTTATTTCCCCTCTCCAAGCTCCATTCAGAGGTTATGCAGGTTTAAAGACTTTTGTACACTATTCAGTTAAAGACCACAGGACCTTAAGGTGTTGCTTACATCACTCTTTTGGAATGTAACAGCAATTGCCCTTTTGGTGAATAGAGTAACACAAACATTTTTGAGGGAGACTCGGTAGGCCCAGAAGTGCCATTTTGATGCTAAGGTCACCCCCAGAGAGAGTATGCCTGGGCAGAAAATTCTCTTGCTCCTACTTCCTAATATAGCAAAACTGTTCTACCAGTGGCAAGGTCCCTTTGATGTAATCAGGAAGGTGGGCCCTGTAGACTATGAAATGTGGCTGCCTAGGTGGTGGCTGTCACAAATTTTCCATGTGAATCTTTTAAAAGAATGGCATGATAATGAGGCCTTGTTTGGATGGTGGAGGAGCCAGAGTTGGGTCTGGAGGCAGCTAGTACACTAAGATCCATAGAGGAACAGTGGACCATTGACAAGGGGATTAACCCTGTGAGATAGCAATTACTGCACACTTTAGTAGAGGCTAGCTTCCCAACGTCTTCTCCACTAAACCCCCAGGGATAGTGGTAAGGTCAGCCACAAGGACTTGGCTACGTCTGTTACATCAGGAAATTGTCGATGAAATAAAGGGGATGTTAGTTAGGGGTCACTGAACCCTCCTCTAGTCCCTGTAGGAGCCACACCCTGCTGGCCTCTAAGCCCAATAGTAACATTATGTTTTGTATAGACTTATTGTACAGATCTGATGCCTATCTTATGCCTTGATGAGTTGATCAAGAAGTTGGGGGAGACCTCCTATCTGTCCTCCCTAGAACAAACAAAGGAAAATTGGTGGATTCCACTGTGAGAAGCAGGTAAGAAAAAATGTTCCACCTCCCCAAGGGCTGTACCAATTCACATATATGCTGTTTGGCCTTCACATCATGGTATCCACCTTCCAGTGCTTCATGGATAGGATTTTAACTCCAGTGCAGACCTTTGCAGCCATCTACATAAATGTAGATAATTATACATAATAATACTTATTATTAATTTTATTTATTGAATTTATGCCCCACACCATCTGGCAACCAGGCCACTCTGGGCAGCTAACAACAATATGAGCAACAATATTAAAACATGATAAAAATAAATTAATACATAACCAAATAGGATAAATTAAAACAGATGGCAATGAAAGTGGTTAAAAGGGTGATGTAGAGCACTGGTTCTTAACCTTGGGTTACTCATGAGTTTTGGACTGCAACTCCCAAAAGCCTTCACCACCAGCTATCCTGACTGGGGTTTCTGGGAGTTGCAGTTCAAAAGCATCCGAGTAACAAAGGTTAAGAACCACTGATGTTAGAGGATGACAAAAATGTTAAAAGGGAGCCCAGGAAAGCCTGGTGAAAGAGCCAGGTCTTCAATGCTCGCTAGAACCCATCCAGTGAGGGTGCCAGGCAGATCTCAATGGGCAGGCGGTTTGCTTGTTTATTAGATTTCTATCCCACCCATCTAGACCCAAGGTCTACTCAACGTTGTTCCACAGGCAGGGGGGGCAATGCTGAGATGGCCTCATTTCTTGTTCTTCCACCTGAGCCTCCTTCGGGGTCAAAACCCTCAACCAGCCTGCCTGTGAAGAACGGGTATTACAGACAGATCTGGCTGGGAGCAGGCATTCTGATAGGTACCAAGGTCCTAAACCATTTAGGGCTTTTGAATATTATCATCGTAACCTTGAATTTGATTGGGAAATGAACTGGTAGCCACTGAAGGGTGGCCAGAGTGAGGCAGATGTGCTGGAATTTCTTCAGCCCAGTTATTAATCTGGCTGCTGAATTTTGGGCCATCTCATGTTAGGTCTTCCTCTTCTTCTACTGCCCCCTTTTTCAGCAATATTGTATTATTTTTTAATCAGTTCTGTATTTTCATTATACTATATGCATGGTAAGGTAGTCTCAGTTTACTCAGTTTTGATCCAATGATAGTTCAGATGTGACTTGTTTGAGCACCAATTTTTCTCCCTTTCTGGCTGTCTGTGGTATCAATATGGCTCTCCTCAAACACCACATTTCATAATGTGAAGTTGATTTTTTCATTCTTTATGGCCTTTCTTTCACATGATTTTGACCTTGGCTTCCAGTGAAAATTTTTGCTAACTCCTAACTCTCCCCATTTTTATTATTATTTCAAAAGCTGAGAGGAAAACATGGGCACAACATATTCACAGAATTTTGAAATTAGAATACTGTATAGCTTTTTAATTTGCATTCTGCA